ATAGATATAGATATAGATATAGATATAGATATAGATATAGATATAGATATAGATATAAATATAGATATAGATATAGATATAGACATAGCTTTAGATATAGACATACCTATAGATATAGACTTTACACCTTGAACAGATCTCTACCCACACATACATTTCCTTTATGAACCCTTAAAGTCAATCCCATGAAAAAAATAACAAACTTGAACAATGAAATGTTTTCATTAATGTTCCTGCATATGTATGAATGGCTGGAAGATATATCCAGTTCTTCAGAAAAACTATAATACCCGCATATTATAGTAGGCGAAGGCAAGTGAAGGCCAGCGCTTTACGACCCCATAAACAGTGGCCAATTAAAAGATATTTGTAATTGGCCATATAATTTCATTCAACTGCCGACAAAAGGCCTCCAAAGGCCAAGGAAACGTAACACAGAGCTGAAAATTGAATTGGCATTAGGGAAACAATGCAACGATCGGGGAACTCTCAGATATACATATATATACATATATATAATATAGTAAAATTTAATAGCAATAATGTGTATATTATATCTATGAATATCTATAGGTATGTAGATAGATAGATAGGTAAGTAGGTAAATCGAAAGAATTGATGATAGGTTGATAGATAGATTATAATTATCTATGTAACCCTATCTGTGCCTATTAACGTCTCGATTTTGGAACCTACTCAAACTGGAGACTTTGAAGTAAAACCTTTTATACTACAAATTATTATGGTACCGAGACTATTATTGTATATGTAACAGATTATCGCCTATACGTAATATATCCCAGTCATGAAGTCTCCCTTGCTTTGTAGTTTAATTAAACTCCCGAATTCTCCAATTTAAACTTTTATATTCATCTGCCACATATGTATAATAACATATTTTCTAGATCTTCTATTGTTGAGATCTATTCTAGATCTTCTATTGTTGAATCTGCCAATATATTATGGAATGTATTTATATATATGTAATGCTAGCAGGATTGGTTTTTTCCAAAATTTTACTCAGATACCCTGTCAGCATATGGGAAGTGAGTTACATATAGTAGGAGTCCACTGCGATCACTAAAATTTCATAGAGTAAACTATAAGGCTGACTGCACTGTGACTGATCGTATTTGTATTGCTGGGTATCTGCTAGTCTAACACTCTCCCTGTGTGTCTTTGGCAAAGAATGTGCTACTTGGAAAAACTCTAACTCATATACATAATCATAAACATTTTATAGAGAACGTTGAACCTTTTATATACTTCATAAAAACCCAGATACAAATTGATGCAAACATCAAAAACTTTTCCAACTTATATATACATATATATAAATATATATGTGTATATACATAGATATTATTTTAGAGTTGACGAGAATAGAACATAATCATCTAATCAGCACTTGACTCGAGTTGACTTTGTGGTCTTGATTTCTCAAGTGCCCAAACGTGCGGTTCATGCAGACCGACCAGATAATTCTAATGGGTACAAACTACTTATGATATTCCCATTCGACAGCAATGATCATTCTGACAATTCTAATGCTATAAATGGAGTAAAGGAAAGGGAAGATGGAATATAGGAGATAGATGATGGGAAGATAGAAGAGAAAGGATAGAAGATGGAATATAGAAGATATTAGAAAAGAATTGTTAAATGTATTACTATAGAAGATAGAAAATGATATATACATATGATGGAATATAGATGATAGCGGATGGATGAAAGCTGAACGATAATAAATGACGGAGGATAGATGAGAGCAGATGAGGATGATAAAGGATAAAGGAAAGATGATAGAGTACTATTAGATTCTTTAGTATTATACGTTCCCTATGGTCCCTTTCTCTCTCTCGCTTTTTCTTAATCTCTACCTCTCATTATGTCTCTCTCTCACTCATTCTAAATCGGTCTTCTCCCTCTCTCTCTCTCTCTCTCTCTGTCTCTTAGTCTCTCACTTTTCGCTTATGTTTTTCATACATTTCTATAGAAATTTTTTCTCTAATGTTTTTCGCCTTCTCTCTCGCCCACCACAGGTAAAAAATGTATTACGGCCTCGTTACTACTCCTCGGAGTTGGGCATACGGGAGAAGATCTTTATCGGCGTGATGACGTCACAGGAGAACATCAACAGCTATGCAACGGCATTCAATCGCACCACCGCCCACCTGGTGAACAAGATCAAGTTCTTCATCAATGCGGACAGCGTGAAAACGAACTATCAGTTGAAGAACATCGTCGGCTTCACGGACACGCGGGAAAGTCGTCGTCCCTTCTATGTGATCAAGTATATAGCGGACAATTATCTGGATGAATACGATTACTTTCTGCTGGTGCCGGACAATGTCTATGTGGATGCACGGAAGCTGAATGCGCTGCTTTACCATATGAGCATCACCTTTGATCTGTATATGGGCGGCATACGGGTTGCCCAGGGCGAAACTGGCGATGGTCATGGCAATGGCAATGGCAAGGGCGATGGCAATGTTGGCAATGGCAATGGAGAGGATGAGAATGCAGCACCAGTTGAACGTGATGAATCGATGAATGATTCGGGTGCGGCAGGTGTGAGTGATCGCAATTATTGTGACCTTGACGCGGGCATCCTGCTGAGCAGCAGCGTCATACGGAAGATGCGCAACAATTTGGATCGTTGTGTGCGGATTGGGATTACGAATGATCATAGCGTTAACATTGGACGCTGTGTAAAGTATGCAAGTCGTGTGGCTGGCTGTCAGGAAAGCTTTCAGGTGAGTGAGAAAATGGGCAATGTCGTGCATTAGGGTTTGACATGCATTAGAGCAAATAAGAAGTTCATTTACTTCAATTGGCGATTAGCTTAACAGACATAAACAAATTAACAGCTGCCACAACAGCTGTTAACAGTTTTAGCAGCACTGCTATCAGTTGAAGTACAAGCGAACGTTGCCATGTACGTGTACATTTAGCTTACGTGCTTGTATGTGGGGTCTGTGTATGTGTGTGTGTGCACGAGTTAATTTGCCGTTTGCTTGTCGTGTGATCTTTGTTGCTTCCTACACGCCGTTTTATTTATTTAAACAATTTGCCGTTGACTAAAAAGACGCACAAAGAGCAAACACACACACACACACAGGCACACGTTGTGATATGCAAGCAGAACATCAAACAAGAACATAACAAAACCAAAATGAAGAGGGGGAAAAAATCAGTTCATTGATACATGAAAGTGACCCTGAAAAGAGCATCTCAGCAGAGCAGCAGCCGAGCGAAATGTGATGCGGAAAGCAGAGAATACAAATGAAAGAAATAGAAGCAAAAGCGACAACAACAACAGAGCAGCCACAACTTTAAAGTCTCCATACATCTTGATAAAAAAAAAAAAAGAAGAGAGAAAAAAACAAACATTTTCGAGCTACTTGCTGGCTTGTGGCAGGCAATCAAGAAGCAGCAGCAGCACTTGATGGACAGTTTATTTAATTTCCAAGTAATAGCAACGGACCAAAGAATTTCTCCGAGTATGTCAAGGGGAAGTGCTGGCGATGCTGAAGAACTGAAATAAGAGGCAATAAAATGAGACGACACGGCTTTCAAATGGAAATGCACTCTCCAAAACAGTTAAACAGGCACTGGCAGGCTTAGCCTTTGCTTGGTGCGACACAGTGCTTAGTGGGAGAGAGAGGGACGTAATGATGCTTGGCATATCAATATATGCATGTATGTACATACATATGTACGTGCGTGCATGAATACGTGCATAAGCAGAGCAGAAGAGTGGACAATGGGCAATTGGAAGTGCGCTCTCAACATAGTTGGACATGCACTGTTGCTGTGATACTTAGCACGCATACATACATATGTATGTATATGTGTGCATACTTTGGTTTAATTAAAATTGTTTATTTTTACATTTTGCGCACGCAATTTATCAAGAAAATGTTAGTTCTTCCTCTTGAATGCTAAAATGTACATACATGTACATGTATGTATGTACCTACACTCATACATACACATATTGGTGAAGACGAATTGAAACACAGGGCTAAGAACTTGACGCACGCCTTTCACTTGAAATTCGTTTGTTTGGATTTTGGGTTTATTTACATACACATATACATACATACATAGATATGCGGCTGCCAGGTATCGTGGAATGATTTACATATGTATGTATGCATGTGTATGTTTATACTCTAAGCATCATTGCGTTCCCCTCTCTCGCCCACTATGGATATGTATTTGGTTGAGTTTGAGTGGTGATAACTGTTTAATTCAAAAATGTTACATTTACAGCAGGCAAGACCACCAAGCTGAAGTGCTTGCCTAAGCTGGTGTGTGTGTGTGAGGGTATTTAGCAGTTGCGACATTTTACTGTAACAAGCTGGATGCGCTTTCTAGAAACTAACTGCGCCAACTGTTAGCAGCGCACTGTTAATTAAATTGTGCGACCAACTCGGTTCAACCCTCCAAATGGAGTAACGGGATTGGCAAGGCAAATACGAATGGCAATTGGAAATTGGGAATGCGAGCATGGGCACTAGAATGCGCGACTGGTTGCTTGGACTTAATGAGATCGTAAATGCGACGCGGCTATAAAGGAAGTTTATTGTTTTGTTATCTGTGGAACACATGTTCATAACTGGATCATGGATTTGGGTCTGGGTCTGTGTCTGGGTTGGGGTCGTCGTTTATTGTATTTGCTTCATCTCCCATTTTCTTAGAAATTAATTTCATGCGGAATTAGTCGGCGCCTAACTAATGGAATTCGTTTTTAATTGATGAATTCTTTGATGTGTCTTTGTACAGGGTATGCGTCAATATAGCTATGCATTGAATACAAAGTCGCGCCAATATAAGGATCTCAGCATCTTGGCCAAGGAGCCGGCATTCCTCAATGCAACGACCGTTTATCCCGTACAGTCGCCGGAGGATTTCTATCGTCTGCACGCCTACTACTCCAAGGTAATGTAACAGAGTACTGTTTATTGCAAATTATTTAACATAAAAGGAAACTGTTAAGTTTAAGCAATATGTCTGCCAAAGGATTTAAATTTTTAACATAGAATGCTAATAACATAACGTAACGTAACGTAAGTGAAGTCGACGGTAAACAGTGTGTGTATAGTGCGCTAAAACTAAACGAAATTGACTTTAAGAATTTAACGAAGCAGGAAGCTGATTATCTTAGCTAAATTACCGACAATTATTATAAACTTAATGAAACATAACTCAATTATAAGCAGCGCGAACGCTGTAATAATAAACCTAACGAAACGTTATTCAATTATGCATAGAGATGACTCTTTCTGTTTATAACTTAACGAATCTTCAACTATCAACGGAGTGATCCTCAGCTTAACGAAACTAAATTTGAGTATTTATTGAAACTCGTTTTCTGTTCTCCCAATTCTGCAGCATCATCTGGATATGGTGCGGCAGCGCGGCTATGCCCTGGAACAGAAATCGTACCGTATCGCCAATGGCAGCATCTCCAACAAAATACTCGAGATACGTTGGCCCCTGGGCGTACCACCGCCCAGTGCGCCGGAGACGCGGCACGACATGCTTACGTGGCAGCTGCTAAACGAGACGCACTCAATGCTGCCGAACGCGAACTCCGACCATGCCGTGGCACCGCTCAGCCGCATCGAAGCCCTGGACTTTGCCAAGGTGCTGGAGATCACACTGCAATATGCCGCACAGAAGTATCCGAAGCTGCGATACGAGAGCTTGCACAGTGCCTACCGGAAGTTCGATGCGACGCGTGGCATGGACTATCAGCTGCATCTGAATCTGTACGAGGGCGGCAGCGACGTTGCCAAGCGGCGGCGAGTGTTGCTCAAAAGCTTCGAGGTGGTCAAACCGCTGGGTCGCGTAGAGGTGGTGCCGTCGCCCTACGTCACGGAGAGTACCCGGATCGCCATACTGGTGCCGGCATTTGAGCACCAGGTGCCGGATGCGCTCGACTTTGTGGCCCAATACGAACGCATCTGCATGCACAACCAGGACAACACATTCCTGCTGCTGGTGAGTATGACTGGAGCTTGGAGAGGAGCCTCCATTGCTAAAAGTTTCCATTTTCCGTCTTGCAGATCTTTCTGTACCGCCTCGAATCGCCCAGCAAGGGTGACGACGATCCCTTCAAGAGCCTGAAAAAGTTGGCTCTTGATTTGTCATCCAAGTACAAGACAGATGGCTCGCGCATTGCCTGGGTCTCCATACGGCTGCCGGAGCAGCTGAGCACGGAGCCAGTGCACCCGGAGGATTGGCTAATGCACGCCTCCATGTACGGACCGAGGCAGTTGCTCAGCTTGGCTGTTGCCGATCTGGCGCTGCCTAAACTCGGACTCGAATCGCTGGTGCTGTTGGCCACGCCCAGCATGCTCTTCCGCACGGACTTTCTCAATCGTGTCCGCATGAATACCATCCAAGGGTTTCAGGTGTACGCGCCCATTGGCTTCCAGCTCTATCCCTGCAACTGGGCGCACTTCTGCAAGGAGTGCGACACCTGCGACATCAGCCAGAGCAGCGGCTACTTTGACCGACAGAATCAGGATGTGATTGCCTTCTACAGTCGCGACTACGTACAGGGTAATCATTGAATCTAATTTGCTCTACCGACATTTACCGACCTCTTGCCTCCACCTCTATCTCTTACCTCTACCTCTACCTCTACCTCTACCTCCACCTCTACCTCTTGCCTCCACCTGTACCTCCACCTGTACCTCTACCTCTACTTCTACCTCTACCTCTACCTCTACCTCTACCTCTACCTCT